GCAAGACACTATAAACAAAGTTAACAGACTGAGAAGACAGAACCTATACAGTTGATAAAGGAGCAGAATACACAAATAAACAAATTAACTTCCCAAAAGTTCAAGAAGAAAAAACAAGTAACAAAGAGAACGCAGGCAGAGGATATGAAGAGGCCTCTCCCAGAAAATGAAACCTGAACGATGAGTAAGCATGAAGAATATGTTCCATCTGACTACATCAGGGACATGTAAATCATAACAGTGAGACTGCATTTTCTACCCAGAGTATCTGCTAGTGGGCTTGAGTTTAACAAAGCCAAATGTCAGCACAGATGTGAACAACCTCATATGACGCTGGCAGGATGCACAGTGGGACCACCCCTCTGAAAGCAATTTGGCAATGTCTGGTGAAACTCCAAATACATACACTCTACGGCCCTGCTAACCTATTTATAGGCATTTACCTTCCGTCAGTTCTTGCACAAGTGCACAAGGGAATATGCACAACAGGTTCATTGCAATGTTATTTGTAATTGTGGAAAATTAAAAATGAGCTAGACGTCTCAGTCAGGGGATGGATAAATTGTAGTACTGTCATTCAAAAGAATGATCCGTAGCAGATGGATTAAATGAAATAGATCCATGTTTATCAAGACTGATGATAGGCTAAAGAGTCTCAAAAATATAATGTGGACTGAAAACGAGAAGTAACAGGAAAATAAGGGGAGTATGGGACCACTTATGTAAATGTGAGAGCACCCCAAGTACTATATATTGTTTGTGTGTGATACCTGCGTATTAAAAGGATGAAAACTTGGGCGCCTGGGTGGCTCAGTCGGTTAAGCGACTGCCTTCGGCTCAGGTCATGATCCCGGGGTCCTGGGATCGAGTCCCGCATCGGGCTCCCTGCTCTACGGGGAGCCTGCTTCTCCCTCTCCCACTCCCCCTGCTTGTGTTCCCTCTCTCACTGTGTCTCTCTCTGTCAAATAAATAAATAAATAATCTTTAAAAAAAAAAAAAAAAAAAGGATGAAAACTGGACAAAAGGAATATTAACAACTTCACGATAGCTACACCTGGGGAAGAGAGGTCTGGTGCCTTTGGGAGTGGAGCTCTGGCCTTCTTCTGCTCCAGCCCCAGGGCCAAGAGGTTGTACCCACCTGAAGCCCATCTCTGCTCTGTCTTTTTGAGGATGCAGTACATCCCTCCTACCCAAACTCTGGGAGCTGGGACCCCAAGATTCCCTGTCCAGTGGTCCCAAGGCCTCTTCCTGAGCCTGGGTGGGCCTTTTTCCCTGGCCCACCTTCTCAAGAAAGGATTGGGTGTCTGCCTCGGGGTGGGAGGGAGGGGACAGGGAACAGGATCTGAAGGCATCTGAAGGAGACTTCAACTGTGTCTAGGAATGCTAGTTCTTAATAACAGTATCCCTAAAACAAACATAACAACATGACATTCGCTAATTCTGGGGGTGGGAGCAAAAAAAAGCAATTTTTATGGCACTTAGTAAAGTAGAAATTTTATATGGAAGAAAAAAGGCCCCAAATCACCAAGATAATTCTGAAGAGGAACAAGTTTAGGGAGAGAAGGCGGGACTTACCCTACCAGATAATCAGAATTCTTATTGCTCTTTTTAATAGCTGACTCATATATATCACTTACCATGTTTCAAGTACTATTCTAAGTCATTTGCCTTAAAAATGAGATGGTTTATTCTTACTCAGTTTTATGGAAGACAACTCAATAACTTGCCAAGGTCATTCACTGCAAAAGTAGAAGGGGATTTGGACCCAGTAGGTCTGGCTCCAAAGTCCGTGATCTTAACAATACTCTAGGTCTACTTGACTGTATCCTACATTAAAAAAAATTAAAATACCCAGACAAGTACAATACAAAGAAAAAGGTGGTGAAATTTTGCAAGAAGGTTCTTAGATGTGTGAAGAGCACAGACAAAGAGGGCATTCCCTGGGAAGGAAGGCAGTTGAGGTGGTGGGGGACGCTTTACGAACCAGGTGCCCCCTTTCGGCCCGGGCCTTGCTGGGCTGTGGGCAGGGACGGGCAGGAGAGTGAAATGGCAGGAAGAGGGAACTTTGTGTATACAGGGATCGATTTAGGAAAGTTCAAGAAGGATTTGAGGATTAGCAAGTAGCTACGTTTGGCTGTCACTTGAGGGGACAACTTGGTGAGGGACACAGGTTGGGATCCTTAAAGGGAGGGTGGGACATAAGGATTTAGTCTGGAAGGCAAGGCCCTCTCTGCCGAGCTGCACCATGGGCAGCCAGTGAGGAGAGCAGGCTGGATGGCAGGCTGACTGCAGGTGGGAGGCCCCAGGGGCACTGGGGGGCGGGGTCAAGAAGCTGCCAGGTATGCGCACCTACTGTGAACCGGGCACTGTTCTAGGTGGTTGCAACACAGAGTGAACAAAACAGAAATTTCTGCCCTCATGGAACCTGCATTCTAGTGGAGGGACACAACTAAGATAAATAAGTGAGCTATACAGCAAACAAAGGGATACGAATATGCATCTGTGAGATGGAGAAAGCAGGGAAGGGGGCAGACTGCACACACACACGTGTGTGTGCGTGTATTGGGTGATGTGGGGAAGGCTGAATGGGGGGAAGCGGGGGAGGAGTGAGCGGAGGTGACATTCGAAGAAAGGCCTGCCAAGTGAGGAGTGTTGAGAAGATCCAGAGATTGAGAGCCTGGGGCTGGGCCATGGTTACACCAAAAGGAGGGCAGGAGGAAGAGCTGGATGGGAGGAAGACAGATTGAGTCTGGGGCCCAGGGGGGCAGTTAAAAATATGGGCTAGAGCCTGGAGCGTGAGACGTGCCCACACTGGAGTCACTGCTAACTCGGTAATAGACAGGATTTTAGTAGCTGAGATCAAGGAACAGGAGAACAATCAGGGAGCCCCCGCTGTGTGCCCTGCACACTATCAGGTGTTTTATTCCACAAAGGACCTGTAATCCTAAGGACATCCCTGCAGTCTCCAGAGCATGAACTCAGCACAAATAACACCAGCAAGAAGAGTAGCCCGCACGTCAAAGGGTATATACTACATGCATGGGGCACTTTCCTGGCACTTTATATATATTGACTCATTCAGTCCTTACAGAGACCCCAGGAGGGTACTAATTAGCCTCATTTGACAGATGAGAACACCGGGCTGGCCAATTAAGTTGCCCAAGGTCACAGGCTGGTGAGGGGGTGAAGCAGGCTGAAGAGGGCGGCCTGGCTCCAGAATCCTTGCTCTGGAAGGAGGTAACCTCTCGGCCCTTCAAGAAAAGCAAGCTGAGGGCCCAGAGCTTTTTTGAGGATGGGGTGCGGGTCTGGAGAGAAGAGCTAGAGACATCCTCAGAAGACGCATGGCAAGAGAGGAGGCCAGGCCAGGGCGGGGACAGCGCTGTCAGCCCTGCAGCCTGCGGGTGGCCCGCGAGCTGGCCGGTGAAGACCCAGCACCGGCCGCAGCAGCCCAGAGGGATGGGAGCAGAGGCCTGGAGGCCAGTGCGGACACAGCTCTGCGGACCTCTGGGAGCGGATAAAAGCAGTTACAACCAACCATCAAACCAACCCAACACCCTTTCCGGGCGATTTCAGGCCGGGAGAGTAGGTCTGAAGGCCTCGGCTGAGGAAACCGTATCCCGCCCGAGGTCGTTTTTCACTCTGAACTTGAATCTGAACAAGACGCTTAAACTCTGTAGATTGCCCAGCTGCCTTTTTGAAAAAGTTGGGCAATCTCTCAGATGGGGCCGAAATCGAATCCCGCCCGGATCCGCCTCGGCAATGTGTCACCAAGCGGCCTCTGCGCACCGAGGGCAGGAGGGCTGGAGGGCGTGTCCCCGGGGCCCAGGCGCGGGACCCGGAGCGCGCGTCCTCCGTCCCCGCGCGCTGCCCTCGGGACCTCCGGGAGTCGTGGGTGACCCCGGGACTCTCCTCCGGGGCGCGACCCGGGGCCGAGCGCAGAGCAGGCTGGGGGCGGGGGCGAACGGAGCTCCGCGCCAGGCCGGAGGCTGCGCCCGTCCCTCGCAGGCCCGGGCCGGGTGGCCGCGCGCGGTGGCGCTCAGCCAGACCGCGCCGCCCGGGCCCCGTGGCGCGCCCACCCCGACCCCGCCGCCGCGTCCCCGGGGAGCGCGGCCCGGGCCCCGGGGCCGGAGGGCCGGCGACGGCTGGCGCGGCGCCCAGGGGTGTGAGGCGGGGAGCGCGGTGCGGAGGGAGGGGAGGGGTGGGGTGGGGGGAGCGGCGCGGGGAGGCGGCGGCCGGCGGGCCGCGCTCACTCGGAGGCCGGGCTGCCGGCGGCAGGACGCGCTCGCCGAGTCGGGCCGGCGGCGGCCGGCCGCGCGCACCATGCCCTCCTTCGACGAGGCGCTGCAGAGGGCGGGCGAGTTCGGGCGCTTCCAGCGGCGCGTGTTCCTGCTGCTGTGCCTGACGGGCGTCACCTTCGCCTTCCTCTTCGTCGGCGTGGTCTTCCTGGGCAGCCAGCCCGAGCGCTACTGGTGCCGCGGGCCGAGCGCCGCCGCGCTGGCCGAGCGCTGCGGCTGGAGCCCCGAGGAGGAGTGGAACCGCACGGCGCCCCCCGCGCGCCGCGGCCACGGCGGCTGCCGGCGCTACCTCCTGGAGGCGGCCAACGCCAGCGCGGCGGCGGACGCGCTCAGCTGCGCAGACCCGCTCGCCGCCTTCCCCAACCGCTCGGCGCCGCTCGTGCCGTGCCGGGGCGGCTGGCGGTACGCCCAGGCCCACTCCACCATCGTCAGCGAGGTGAGGCCGCCGCCCGCCGCGCCCGGGGAAGGGCGGGGGGTGGCCCCGCGGGACGGCACGGAGCCCCGCTGCCCCCCGCGCGGCCGGGCCGGGGACGCTGGCACCTGTTGGTTGCCCCTGGGGACCGGCCGGGTGCGTCCCTCTCTCGGAAGGGCCGCGTCCGGAACGCCCGGAGGATGCCTGTCGTCGTTTCCCTCTGCGAGTGAGTGGACGGAGAGGTGCGTCTCTCCGGGGATAGACGCTGAGTTCGGAGATGGCTTCTCACTCACCTCCTCGCGCATCGGAGCGTCCGGTACGACGCACGTCTTGCCGGCGGGGATGGGTTCGTGCACAAGCGGGAGATTACGGTCCGACTCGCGGTGGAGACCCGCGGCCTCTGGGGCGAGCGACTTGGTTGGGCAGGGCCCGATTGCTCTGTGGTCTTCAGGGGGTAAAGGAAGGGCGAAGCGTCAACTGGTTGCCCTACTGATTATCGGAAATGCACGGGGACAGAGGTCAGGGCTCTCCATGCGCATGACTTTGATAAAACTGCTCTGGGGCAAAGAGCAACATCCGAGATAAATTGGGAAAGCTGAGGTTTTGAATTAAGAGTTTCAACTTTCTTTTTTTTGTTTGTTTCCTGCGAATAACTTACAGGAAGGCAGTAAAAAGGGCTGTACGTCTCACAAAGCAGATTCCCCCCTTCCCACGGGTGGCCCCTTGGGCCAGGTGGGGCAGCCCCCACATTTTCTTGGGTGTGTTTGGGCAGGCAGTGCATCGGGGGTTAGCTGGCCCCTCAGCCTCGGCTGCAGCACTGTTTCCACGCTGGGCTGGGATGGCAGTTCGCATCTTCATCTCTGTGCCTCAGCTGTGGGGACCGCCTCCACGGAGGCTGGGTCACGGGAATGAGCAGTTCCTTTGAACTTTGTGGGCAATCAGAGATCAATTTAATTTCTAAAAAAATGATTGAATGTGCTCTGGCAAATTAGGAAAGAAAAACTTTTATCTTTACATTGGTTATTGTCATAAACTTTTTAAAGCACCTCCTTGAATAAGGGAGAAAACACTAGATTTGGAGTTAGCCATGTCTAACTGTTAATGTTAACGTTCTGTCACTGTTAATGGTGACCTCATCTCTCTGGTCTTGGGATTCTAGATCTTTGAGGTCATGCATGTTCTATAGTGCCATGTGTGTATGGTCCTATGCTAATTGCTGTCGAGATAAAATCCATGGCAGCCCAGCCGGGCAATGTGTCTGTTCGTACTTTAATTTCTATTTAACCTGTGGGTAATGATGACGACTGCTTCGTAAACTATGGTGGTCTTGCCGTTAGGGATTTCATAGATGAAATGGACAGGGTGTGGACTCCGGTGGGACAGGGCATTACCCCTAGTACTTCCTTCCAGCAGCAGCTGTTTGATGGCTGCTTGTATTCCATTTAGCACAGCTGCTTAGTGCTTACTTCCCAGGCAAATCAGATGATACCACTTGGAGAGAAGACACCTGATTTTTGAAGACATTTAGACCTCAAATGAAGAATAAAATGAGCCTTCAAAGCAAAATGCACACGCACTCTAATGGTGTTTCTGGGAGCAAACGTGATCGCTGGACATCAGAGAAGGGAGACATAGAAATCTGTGAGTGAGTGCCCAGATACTTGAGAAACAGTCTGGGGCTCTGGAGTTGTTTCAAGTGACCTGGGGTTATTTCAAGGAGGGACAGGTGGTCTTATGAAGGTCAGTGGCTCCCAAAAGGCAATGTGGGAAGTGGAAGGTCAGGAGACCTGGTATGGTACTGTGGCTTGGGTGTGGCTTGGGTGAATCGCTTAACCTCTCTGGGCTTAGCTTTCTCATCTGTAAAATCAGAGGTTGGATTAAGCCCTTCACAGTCTTATAGATGCCATCAGTGTTGTAGCTGGATGGCTGGTCAGGGTGCCCACAACAATGATAAAAAGATTTCAAGGAAAAGTAGAATGATATTCAGCATGCACTCCTGAAGGCCACCAACAAATCTTTGAAATATATTGGAGAGATTTTTTTTTTTTTTAATCCAGTTTAGAAGCAGTTTACTTCTTCTGGCTTTTTTGTTATGTTTTAATTCTTAAGAGGGACCTCCTCCTCCATCTATTCAGGAAGTCCAGCCTTTCAGAGCAACTCATTCTCAGAGTTCTGCCTGGCTAATATTTTGCTGCCTTTGTTTTGAAGATGATCCATTTAATTTTTGTTTTTTCATATTCTGTCAGGATTAAAGGAACTTTACTTCTATCTTCGGTTAACACTGTACCCAATGTGTTTTTACAGACTTAAAGTTGAAGATATTAATCGTGGAAAGGGGGTGAATTGCGAGAGTTTCGAAGGTGGAAGGGCAGACCCGATTCCAGAATGTCTCCATTTGGCTATTATACTTCCTCCGTGCACCAGTGAGGGGAGATATCGTTGTCCTAGCTTTGTAGAAGAGGTTCCTGAGTTAGGAGATGTGGAAGGACCTGCCAGAGTCCCAGACCTTTTAAGTGGCCCAGTTGGGTTGAAATCCGAGGGTATTGAGTATAAATCATTCTCCGTTCCTCTGTGTAGTGATCAAAGTCTTGGGGACAAGCCCACGCAACATAACCACTCACACTTTAGAGCAGGAAATCCTGTGGAACCTTCAAGTTTACTTCATTTTTCTGGCCAGCCTGCCATTGTATTTAATTTCATGGCATCAGGAACACAGTCAGCCATAATCAGCCAGGCTAGCCGATGGGAATGGCTCTCTCGTCTTGACGTGAACATTGTAGAATGAGCACTTGCATCTCACCCACTGTCTGTCCATCTTACAAAGTGAAACAGCTCCAAGGAGTGAAGTCAGAGTCAATGCCAAGTGCAGGTCTGTTTCAATCCAGCCCCCTCACTCTTTCTTTTGCTCAAGGTGAGGCAGTAGATTTTTCACCGACACCTAACTTCCTCAGAGCAGACTTTCTAATGTCTGCATCTCAGCCTTGTCTGCTTTTCAGATGCTGGCCAGAATAAAGCATGATAGAATGTAGAAAAGTCTGAGCCTCCACCACCCACATATTTCAATTCATTGCCTAGGGAGTGAGTCTTTGAAATGGATGTTAGGACTTCTATTTTTTTTTTTTAATTTTATTTATTTATTTATTTGACAGAGAGAGACACAGCGAGAGAGGGAACTCAAGCAGGGGGAGTGGGAGAGGGAGAAGCAGGCTTCCCGCCGAGCAGGGAGCCCGATGCGGGGCTCGATCCCAGGACCCTGGGATCATAACCTGAGCCGAAGGCAGACACTTAACAACTGAGCCACCCAGGCGCCCCAGATGTTAGGACTTCTCAATGTTTGCTTGTATGCCATAAATGGAAATTTAAAAAAAAAAAAAGAAGAAGAAAGAAGGAAGGAAAGAAAAAGAGCTTCTCTCTAGTGTCTCAGTGAACCAGGCTTCAGAGCACCTTTTCAAAATAGTCTGAATCACTCTTGTTTCTCCTTTCCAGGTCATTTTTTCCCCACAATAAAAGGAAAGCCCTTTGAGGGAAGTAGGGGCCGCACTGAAGAGAGTGGTGGCGGCTTTGCTTTTTCTGCGTGTTTTGCGTGTTTCTGCTTTGCCTCTCACACATCTATCCCATAACACAGGGCCAACGCAGTAGGTCAATCCACAGACATCCGTGCTGCCAGCATCCTGTCCTCACTGACTATCAAGCATGGAATTGCACTGGTGTGGAAACTGCAGAAAGTCTCTCCGGGCCCACATTTTAGTCTGGGCTCAGTCTCTGATGTGCTCGGGGCACTTTAGAAAGATCTTGCTTCTGCACTGTTTTTATTCCTAATATTATTTGGAATCACTCACCTCCTTGTTTCTTGGTGAGTCAACCTCACCAGGAGGACATCTGCTTTATTATTACTTCAAAGACCCAAATAGGTCACTGTTCATTTTTATTTCATTAATTTCTCCTCTTTATTATTTGTTCTTGTTTCCTGGATAGACTTTTGGTATGCTTCTTTCGATGGAAGTTCGATGCATAGCTCAGTTATTTTCAGCCTTTCTTCTTTCCTAGCATAAATATCGAAAGCTATGGATTTCCTTCTATGTACTTTTTTGACCGTACCTGACAAGTTTTGAAATGCAGGTTTTAATTATTATTCCGTTTTCAGTATTTGTCATTTCCATTATTATTTTGTTTTTGGCCCATGATGTTTTTATCTTTTTAATTGTTGACTTCTCATTTAACCTTGGTATGGTCAGAGAACATGGTCTGTGTGACACTGCTTCTTTGGATTTCATTAAAATTTGCTTTTTGGCCTTCAAGAGGTCAATTTTCATAAATGTTCTGTACATGCTCTAGAAGAATGTGCAGTCTTTAGCTATTGGGGGCAGGGTTTGTAGATGTCTCATATTTGAAGCTTGTCACTTATGTTGTTAAAATATTCTAGATTTTAATTAACTTTCCATTTGCTTGGTCTGTCAAGATTAATTAACAAGTATTGAAATTTGCCATTATGTTGGTGGGTTTGTCAGTTCCTCCCTATATTTCCAGCAGACTTAAAAAGTTACATACATGGGGCAATTTTATCGGATGCGTGTATCTACAAATTAGATTTTGCTTGTAACCTACATAGTGAATTGAACCTTTTATTAGTGTGTAGGGACCCTATCTAAAATCTATGATGTGTATTGTCTAGTGTCTATTTTGTCTTGTACTAATGTAGCTACTCCAACTTTCTTTTAGTTAATATTTGCCTGTTTTGTTACCTGTTACTTTCAAACTTCACCTGTTCTAAAAGTTTAGATGTATCTCATAAAATGTATAAAACTTGATTTTGTTTTCAGCTGGTAGGCGTAGTCTCTTTACATTTATTGTATTCATTGGTATATTTGAGCTTCTTATACCATATTGTTTTTCTTTGTCTTGTTCTTTCTATGCTTTTCTCTCTCCCTTTAAAAAATGATTTTTTTATTTTGTTTTTCTTATTCTATTTTGTTCCTTCCTTTATTTGTTTGGAATTTAGATCCTTTATTTCAATTCTTTTAGTGGTTACCCTTGACATTTTACTGCGCTTAACTAACAGCGCCTAAATTTAATACTGCAACCTTCTCAACAATTTAGAACTTTCAACACTTTCACTCAGTCACTCACCTCCTGTATTACAGGCATTCGTAGCCAATGTTCTAGCTCTTTCCTCTTCATTCTTAATTTATAGTCTTTGTGTAGATCATGTATGCTTGGGTTTATATTGACACTTTATCTTGTCATCATTTCATACAGTCTCTCATTTTCCCCCTTCCTTTTGACATAAGTCTTTAAAAATTTTTCTTTCGTGCATATCCCTAGGTGGTACATGTTCTCAGTTTTTGTTTTTATGGAAATGTCTTTGTTTCCCCATTATTCTTTTTTTAAAAAAGATTTTATTTTTAAGTAATCTCTACACCCAACATGGGGCTCGAACCCACAACCCCGAAATTAAGTTTCACACTCCAGTGACTGAGTCAGCCATTATTCACCATTATTCTTGAAAGATGGTTTTGTTGAAAAATAGTTCTATGTTGTCAATTATTTTCCTCAGCCCTGTGAAGATGTTAGTTCCGTCTTACAGCTTTCATTTTGCTTTGGAGAAATCTGCTGTGAGTCTCACCGTCCTTTTCACTCAGGTCGTACCTAAGTAGGTATTTCTTTTATTTGCCCAGATTGGTGTACATTGCCTCTCAAAGGCATGTGCATATAATAGGTACCCAATAAATAGTCATTGAATGAACCAATTGTTGTATTTCCTTTAACTGAATTGTGGGAAATTGTCAGCCATTATTTCTTCTATGTTCCCTTTTCCTATTCT